TTGAACAGTCCTTTTTAAACAAGTCTGTTACAAAGCCAATTCCATCAATTATCAGGTATTGTTCTAACAGTACTCAAGCAAAGTTGAGAGAGAATTCTTTGGTCCTGGACAAAAGTTCAGAAGTAAGATTAAAAATTCATTTCAATTAATAATTTGGAGGAAAGTCTATGTTTGTGTATTCACAGGTTCAAAGCAGAAGTAACTTCCTAGCGAAGAACATGGAAACTCCTCAGCTGCAGAGACAAGCAGACAGCCCAAAGAGCAGAAGAGCGAGCACGCAGATGTGAACTGTATCAAGACACAGCTGACAGCTGAACAGCTTGGATCCCACATGCAAGAGCAATGGACTTTGGGTTTCAAGTGAAAGAGTGGGAAAATTAATATTGTAAAGCCTCATTTGTTAAAGCATGAGTGAAAGAAAAATAACCCTTCTTGAAAAGTAATCCAAGAAAAGATTTGGGTTGATTTTTTTTATTGTTTTTTTTAAAAAAAGAGAGGGGCAGATGTTGGAGTCTGAGATAGAGATTGTGTGCCCTTGTTTCTAGTACTTAGTTCTAGGAGTCAAAGAAACACTGAATTTCATATGACATGAAATTCATGAGCATGTTTTCATGGTGATACGTGAAAACAAATGTTAAAGTTAGATAGGAAAAGTGTAAGTGTGTAGATTAGAAAGTTTCTTAAATCACTGGGTGAAAAAGTAGTTTAGAGAACAGGAGACAAGATGCAGGATTTAGGGTGTTGTCTCTTGTCCTTCTCCTTTCTTCTTCATGTTCTTCTCCGAGGGGTTTTTGGGTAGTAGTAAGTGATTGGGTAAAAAATGCCGCAGTGCAGCACACAGGTGTTGGGTCATTGGGTCAAATATTTATTGGAATAAAGTAAAAAGGACTTCTCTGTCTCCTTTTTGGACATAAAACTCTGGCGTTTGTGGGTAAATTTTCCTGACAATTGTTTCTAAAACTAACTTGAATAACAGGTACAATTTAGTTAGCAAAAATCAATTCCATTTATTACAGTAACAATCTTTGTCAGTTAGTGTAATTCCTATGTAATTTCTCGTTTCCCACATGCATTTTTCACCTGCTCTTACCTGGCCTTATCTCCCCTCAGGCCCCGCTCGTCCTCGCCGAGTCCGGCCCGCGCCGGGGCCGCGCCGGGCGCGCGCGGGGCCGAACGCAGCGCCCCCCTCAGGCCGTTGCGCCGCGGCCGTTGCGGCGCCAGTCGGAGACAGATCGGTGCCATGGCGGAGCTGCCGCTGCCCGCCGGACTCAATGCCAGCACCTTCCCCGCCAAGCTGTGGCGCCTGGTGAACAGCCCCCGCGTCCGCTCCGTGCGCTGGGACAGCCAGGCCCAGGGCTTGCTCATCGACCGCTTCCTCTTCGAGCGGGAGCTGCTCAGCCCGGCCGGCGCCCACGGAGGGGGCGGCCAGGGGGCGGGGGCGGCCCCGGACTCCTTCAAAGCCACGCACTTTGGCAGTTTCGTGCGCCAGCTCAACCTCTACGGCTTCCAAAAGGTGCCGGCATGGCTTGGCTCAGCTGTGCCGGGCGATGCCGGGGCTTGGCTGCACTTTATGAACCCAAACTTCCGCCGCGACCGCCCCGAGCTCCTGCTCCGCATCAAACGCCTGACCAGGGCCAACAGGCAGAGACTGGCGGCGGGGCTGGAGGTGCGGAGCCGCCAGCCCAGCCGCCTCCAGCGGCTCCCCACGGAGCGGTCGCTGCCCGCCTTCCCCAGCGGGCAGCCGCCCAGAGCCGGTGAGACGGGGTGGGAGCTGCGGGCGCGGAGGGAGGCGTGGGCTTTGGCCGTGGGCGCTGCCCGGCCGGGCAGGAGCGGCCCCTGCCCGTGCTGGGGCTGCTCAGCGCTGCTGCCCCGGCCGGCACAGGGGCTGTCCTTGGGCAAGGCAGCTGTGCCGGCAGGGCCCGGGAGCTGTGCCGGGCTGCCGGGGGCTGCGGGACAGTCCCGCCGCGCCTGCGCTCGCCACACGCTGGCCCGCTCGGCCGGCAGCCGGCCCGGCCCTGTGCCGTGGCTGGCGCTGCTCATTGCGCGGCCCTGGGACGCTCGGGGAGCTCTCCGGGAGTGCGGCTGAGCCGAGGGCTTGGGCGTGCTCAGCCCCAGCGGGAGAGGGAGCCTCCTGTCCCATTTGGAGCAGAGGGGAGAAGAGCTGGCACTTGGGTTTCTGGCAGCTGCCTCCTGCCAAGGCTTGAACGGATAGGGGAGAGCTCAGTAGACAGGGAGCTGCTTGTTGCAAAGTGAATAAAATCCCATACACCCGTGTGTGTAGAGTTGTTTATTTCAGTGCTGGAGGTGAGGAGGATTTCTCCTCCTCATTCATCCACCTTTGTCAATTGCTGTGGTATATATTTAGAAATTATTGCTTGGTGTTACTATGTCATTATAACATATGGAACTAATAGACACAGTATATTATACACTCTGGAACTAATTTACATAGTATAATCTCATGGCTATAGATAGTTCTTTTTCACTGTGCTTGTGCCTCCCCAATTTGGGGGTCGTTGGGGGTCTTTGACGAAGGCTTCCAAAGTCGTCTTTGCATCTGAACTTTTCAACTTTGTCTTCAGAGCATGCACAGCTACGGTGTTCCTTGGTCTGTCTGGTCCTAACCGGTCTAATTGCTTTATTTTGTGGCTAATTGGCTTGACGTTTGCTAAGTTTTCATTAGTACTATACTTACCTCTCTCTGAAACTGACCACCTGGTGAGATTTTCATTTTTTTTTCCCGTCTCTCCAGCACTGAGCAACCAGTTAACCATATACTAGCCACTACAATGCATAGAAAGACGTCTATATCAGGTTAAATAGATCCATGAAGTTATGATTCAGGTTCTATTGATATCTGGTGATACAGATCTATCAGGTTCTATTGATATCTTATAAGTCAACTATAGAAGCAGCTTGTAAGTTTGACTTAAGTTCTATAGGCATCAAACCCCCCAAGACATGTGGTGATATTTTTCTTTCTCACCCTGTTTTGGGAGGAGGTGAGCTTTTGTCTTCCCTGACAAAAGCACACTTGCTGCCAAGGGAAACACAGCTGAGGAGCAGGAGTGACCCAGCCTTCCCTTTGCTTCCTTTCTTCTTCCCTCCCTGCTGCACAGCTCCCTTGCTCCAGAAGCGCGATGCTGCCTCACCTGAGGATTCAGAGCTGCCTCCAGGCCCTTGCAGGAGAAGTGCAGGTGCTCAGGAGAGTGAGGCTTCCCCAGCACCTGCCAAGAAAGTCTGTGCCACCTCTGCACTTGTTGGGGCTTCACCAGTGGAACCATCAAGAGAGCTCATCCAGAGATTTAATCTCCGCAAGCTCACGGTTCCACTGGTTCGCCTGGACCTGAAACGCCATCCTGAGCTCATGGTTCGCCTCACTCCAGTCGACCCTGAAGCTGCTTGCAGGGCCCTTGGACAGAGCAACAGCTGCTCATCTTCTCAGCAGCACAGCCCAGCCTGCCACCCATCAGGTAGGGAAAGAGTTTCTACCCTTCCTTTTCCAATAGCTCCTGGCAACTGAGCCTTTCAAGTGTTTTCCCTGAGTCCTCTGTCATGGCTAGATCTCAAGTGAGAATCACGGAGAAAGTGTACTAGGAAGTGGGACTGTGAATGCCAAAGGATTCTCTGCTCTTCCTGTCCTTCCTGCAGATGTGGAGGTTGTTGTGGGCATTTTCCAGACAGCCTGTCTGCTGAGGTGCAAGGGCAGGGCGAAAAATATTGCCCGCCAGACAAGTGGTCAGTGTTAGGTGAACTCCCCTGTTTCTTGGAATGAAGTCCAACTAGGACGGTGATAGGATATTGCAGATGTTTCAGACTGACTGGCCTGCAAATCGGGCCGTGCCATTGAAATGAGCTCTGTGTCCTCAGAACAGCTGCAGCTGCAGAACATGGCCTCACCTACAAGGTTGCTTTTAGAATAAACTCCCAGTTGAATTTCTCAGTGTGTGCCTGAAGATGCGGGCTCTTCTTGGGTGAATGCACGTTCTGTGGCCTTCTGTGATGAGAAACTCAAGCAGCCAAATCTAAAAGCTGCTGGGGAGATAGGGAAGGCTGTGATTCTAAAGTTTTTGTGTGCCTTTGGAGCAGAAGGGAGAAGAGCTGGCAGCTGGCTTTCTGGCAGTTGCCTCCTGCCCAGGAATGGCAGCGGGACACTTTTCCCAGACAGATGAATAAGTACGGGAGAGCTCAGTAGACAAGGAATTGGTTGTTGCAAAGCTTCAGAACATGTGGGGAATTTTCTCCTTCTCACCCTACTTGGGAGGATGGGAGCTTCTGTCTTCCTTGGGAGAAGTACAGTTGCTGCCAAGGGAAACACAGCTGAGGAGCAGTAGTGACCCAGCCTTCCCTTTGCTTCCTTTCTTCTTCCCTCCCTGCTGCACAGCTCCTTGGTGCCAGAAGCGCAGTGCTGCCTCACCTGAGGATTCAGAGCTGCCTCCAGGCCCTTCCAGGACAAGTCCAGACCCTCAAGGGCATGAAGCTTCCCCAGCACGTGCCAAGAAAGTGTTTGCTGCATCTGGACTTGGGGTTTCATCAGGCCAGCCAGGCACACACAGATTTCAATTCCAGCCAGAGCTCATGACTCCACCATTTCCTGCGCACCATCAAAGCACTTCTGCGGCCTCTCCAGAGAGCAGCAGCTGCACTTCTCCAGAGCAGCACTTGCCAGCCAACATCCCATCAGGTACGGAATGTGTCTCTCCCCTGGCTTTTCAGAAAGATCACAAAAAGTGACTGAAGTATTTTGCCGCGGTGCTCTGTCATGTGTCCATTTGATTGTGACAATCAGGTGTCAAGGGTACTAGGAAGCAGGATCATGAATATCAAAACAATCTCTGTCTGCTTTTCCCGTCCTTGCTGCAGATTTGGAGGATGTTCTGGCCATTTTCCAGGCAGCCTCTGTGTAGAGGTCAAAGGGCGAGGCAAAGAACATTTCTCCACAACTGGTCGGTGTCAGGTGAACTCCCATTTTTCTTTGGATGAAGCCAAACTAGGACTCTGATGGGATATTGCAGAGTTTACAGATTGTCTTTTGTTGAGATGAAATACAAGGGATGGGACCACCGTGCTTTGAGATGATTTATTGCTTAAGTAGCCCAATAAGAGATCAGTCCCGAGGCGTGAGATTTACAGGCAACAAGTCAACCACAGCTCGAGGAAGTTACGAGTTTCTTCTCCGCATGGCAATATATAACTTTTTAGTGCAGTAGACAGTTGACACCAAGTTTGTTTTCACTTCTTAAGCTCTTATCACCTTTACTTGATTTTGCCACACTGCGTCTGTCTTTTAACCAACGAGCTAACAGGTCACGTATTCACACACACTTCTGTTATAGTTCCTAGATCTCTAACTTACTTTATAAATCACACTATTACACTTTATACCTCCAACTATTTTACTTAATATAATTTCTTACTTCCTCTAGGCATATTCTTACTTGCAACTGTAAGAACATAGGTTTAGAATTACTCTACCTAATGTCTGTGTACTTTCATCACTCCATCAATCCAGGCTTTTTCTAAGGCTGCAGATTTTCCATTTCCAACAGTCTCTCCCGCAAATAATGCTATGAAATTTCAGTGCACGCTGGGAGTCCCCAGAACAGTTGCAGCTGCAGACCATGGCCTCACCTCCATGGTTGCTCCTTAGAATAAACTCGCAGTTGAAGTTTAGCATGTGTGTCTGCACCTCTGGCCTCTTCCTGGGTGAATGCACTTTCTGTGGTCTCTTGTGATGAGAAACTCAAGCAGCCAAATGCCAAAGCTGCTGGGAAGATGCAAAAGGCTGTGATTCAAGGTGATTATGTCTGTGTGTATGTCTAGACCAGTTTCCCAAGCCATACTTTAATCTATGTACACGTTGATTAGGATAATACTTTTGAAGGGGAAGAGCTCACTCTTCCAATTCCCTGGGAAGTTTTTAATACCTTTCTGGAGTTGAGGTTGCTGTGCGCTTCCTGTGATGTTTGATCCAAGGCAGCAATAAAGCTCTGCGTCCCAAAGCCTCATTTTGGAGCCTCACCCATGTTTTTGGATTCTTCCAGCTGCCCCGGGCACTTCAGTCCCCAGTGCTCCAGCTGGCAGTGCTGGTTATGCAGCATGGAGAGCCCCAAGCTGGGTCTGGAGTACTCCTGGGGAAGAGGAATTGCCACCGCTGGATCTGGACCTTGTTCTGGAGACACTGGAGGAGATGCTTTCACCATCTGTGCCTGAAAGGTCTCCCTCTGCTCAGGTAACTCCATTGGACAGGGATGAGAGGGGCTGGACTGAGAGCTTCTGAATGTTGTTGCATGGCTGAGAAGCAAAGGCTTCTTGAATTCAGCTGTGAATGGACACGGAAGGATTTGCTTGGTCAAGCAAGATTTGCTAAGGAAGAGGGAATGAAAAGGGGGGATAGCCCTTAAGTGAGGATGAGAGGTGTTTGCCAGGTTTGGATGCTCCTTTTTCTGGGAAGAACTGCCCATATCTTCTTGCCTAGCATGATGACCCTTTGTCTTCTGCAAACTCCCGCATAGCAGTTTTCAAAAGCAATTTGTTGGTGCACAGAAGGAAATCTGGCAGGCTCTGATTGTATCCCTGCAGAATCTATTGGTTGATCTTTGCGTTTCCTTCTTTCTGTTTTTCTTTTCAGGTCAATGCTAGTGTTGCCCGTGGCTCTTCAGGAGGGGAGGCTGTGAACAAGGCTGCAGCAGAGGGAGCTTTGCCTGCTTGCGGGAGCTGTGTGAACGTTTGCCAGGAGCCCGAGGAGCTTGGTAAGGAGTGAGCCCAGCCTGCTTTAGAGAGATGGGAGACAGCTGCTCTGAGCCTGCCTCTGACAGGAAGGGAGATGAGAAGAGTTGAGTTCTTGTCTGCAGCAGGGTTGGTGCTTCCTGGTGCCTTTAGTTCCAATCCTGCACTGGCACAAGCTCCCCGAGCCCTGCCCCTCCATGCTTTTCCAGAGGCTCTGACACCGAGTCCTCTGCTGTGGCAAGAGAGCCGGCAATAAACCTGAGCTGGTGGCAGTTGTGTCACCAAGCTGCGTGTCCCAATTGGTTCCCAGCTCACAGCAGCCTTCAGCTTCAGCCACTGCAGTGAGGACTGACGTCTCTGCGTCAGCCCAGAGAAAGAACAAGGCTGGGCTTCTTTGTGGCAGCTGGCACTGTCTGTGTTTCTCTCGGGGGTGCCATTTGCACTGGGAGGGTTGTGAATTGATTGGCGTACTTCAAAACTTCACAAGACTGGAAAACTTGGAAGGATCCCTGTTCCCTTTAAAGAGCAGGCTTCAAATTCTCAAGTGAGAGTGTGCCTTTCAGGCCATCTTTGACAGCCTTTGCTAGCAGGACAGTTTACTTGCAAAGGGAAAGCTACACGGAGGCCAGCATTGACTGAGAGTTGCCTTTCCTTGCCAGATATCCATGTGATCTACCTGGCCAGAAGGGCTGCCCTGCGTGGGAAGAAGGATCAGAGGGAGAGCCTGTGACCATCGGGCAGGTGGCATCCCTCTGTTTATAGATATAGTTAGAGATTTTTTATCTTGATTTATTTATCCATATAGTTACAAGTATAGATTGATAGAGTTGTATTTATAGGTGTTTCTATTTATCCATCTGTAGAGTTTGTATGTATAGTTATGGATGTGATAGGATTTTATTTCTATGTATACAGTTAGATTTATAGATTTTCAAATTTGCATTTATATATGTAGAGAGTAACATTTATATGCGCACACAGTTCCATTTCTAAATGTGCATAGTTATTTAGTTCGAGTTATCTGGATGTATAGGTCCATAGATTGAGCTGTGCCTAGGCTGCATTTTTGCCTCTTTCCCCCTTGGCTGCCTTTTTCATCTCTTGTTTTTCCCGCTGTGCCCCTTGTGTCCCCCTGTGCTGGGTCCGAGCTGGGGCCGGGCCAGGCGGAGCAGCAGTTGCAGCCCTGGCTGTCCCTGGAGCGGTGGGAGCTGCCGCTGGCCCCAGGCACTGTCCTGTGAGGAGCTGCTGAAGGACGCTGAGACTGAGGGGGCTGAGGAGGCGCTGATGCTGAAGGGACCTTGCAAACCTTGAGGTGTGAGGGGCACTGAGGGCTGTGGGGGAGCAGAGGGCCATGGTGGCACTGAGGTGACAGAGGCACGGGCTGAGGGCTGTGCCGGCTCTGAGGGGACACAACGGCTCAGAAGGGACTGAGCGGGGGGAGAGGCCTGGGAGAGGCCCAAGAAACTGAAGAGGGGGCTGGGGCTTTGCCGAGAGGACGGCGGGGCTGAGGGGATGGAATGGAGGGGGCCAGGAGGGAGCACACAGAGCTCAGGGACTGCAGCTCTGCCAGGCCTTGCAACCGATTCCAGAGCCTCCACTTTTGCCACCACAGCTGTCCTGAAGAGCTTGAGGACAGCCAGACACTGAGAGGAGCCAGCAGGGAGAAGCTGAAGGCCTGGAGCAAGAGCAGTGAGCAGGGATGTGATGGAGCCACGCGAGAAGATCGGAAGA